AGGGGGAAGGGGGGGGGGGGGGATGGCTTAATCGAAACTTCAATGCCAGGAGGTGGATCTTCGGATGAAGATCATCTGTTCCTTCATAGATCTCCGTGGAAGGAATAGTGAAAACAAATCCCCTTAAGATTTGATTTCGTGTGTTGCTCTAATCAGCCAAGTAAAGCCTCCAGTTTTATTAACCAATCGTATTTTCATGATACCCTATTGAAGTTAATGTCGGAATTTAACTCCAGTTGTTGGGGGATTGCCAATATACGCAGCATAATAGCCCATGCAGGCAGGTATAGATTGCCTAGAAGAGGGACATCAACAATTTGTTTAAGGCAACCACAATCTTAAAGATATGGGTGTTCTTGGTTCTTTACAAGAAGTGTGTGGGTCGCAAGGAATCCTGTATGAGATTGAGATTCAATCAACTTACAAGCGTGTGCTTATATATAGATATAGATATATATCAGACGAATGATTCAGCCATTTTGAAGATAAAGCAAACCACAAACAGTATCTTGCTTTTATTAACACACGTTCACGTCGAATGAAGAGGAGTACCAAAGGGAGAGAGAAACAGAGTAAAAAAAAAATCTCGCCAGAGAGAGAGGGCTCTATACAAATGCGGAATGGGGGAAGCAATTTCGACGAATTACACACACATCGCCTTTCAAAAAACTCACATGGTCCAAAAAAAAAAAAAAAGAGAGCTCGTCTTCGATTGTGTGATATAAATATATTATATATTAGATAAATTCAACTGCTGAACTTTTGTTCCGATGTGCTCGTGGACGCCTACATAGTACATACAAATATCATACGAATAACATTGTTAGTGTTTTTATTATTATATAAAATTAAAAAAACTTAATAATCACATAAAGGAGTGAAGCTGTTCCATGTCAGGTGGGTACTAACCCCAACAGGAGTGACGAAGCTGCAAACTGCACATTTCACGGACGTTGCTCCGTATTGATACATCAACAGCATCCTACAGTTCCCGCAATTTACATGCGCCACTTGATTCGCTGCTCAAAACGCAAAACGCACAACGCACAACGCCAAACGCAAACGCATCTGGTTCTGAACAAGTAGATGTATATATTTGTATGTTGCTCGGAAAGTTTTTATCACTGACCTTCGAGGGCGAGATTAACGGTGTGGCAGCAGGAGCATTGGACGCTAGTAGCTCCCCTAATGTACATCAGAAGGGTGTGGCATCCTCCACACACCAACTGCGCCATCTCTGTACCTGCGATCCAATCGCCAATCGCCAATCGCCAGACGCAAACGCAACAGCCATTTCGCAACGGATCAGATCCATATCGTGTCCAACACAAGAAAATGATACTGAAAACGCTGATAGGCGACTCTATCGGATCAAGATCCCTCAAGAAAAGGAAGTGATCTCAAATTCGTATGCTCCTCTGCATCTCTCCCTCTCTCTGATATATACATATACGAGTGTGTATGCATGTATACACGGAAATACACAGAGATGGAGGGGAGAGAGTACCGGGAGGAGGGACGGCGGTGACGGCATTGCAAACGGCGCAGCAGACGGAGGTGGCTCCGACCGGATACATAAGAAGGTTCCTGCACCCTGAACACACCAACTGGCTCTGCCCTCCTCCTCCTCCTGCTCCTGTCCTCCAAAAAAAAAAATACAGATTTTCGTATTAATATAACTTTTACGACGAACCCATATGTATTAGACAACTGGGTTTTCAGAAAGTTTCCATCTTTGGATCGTTTATATATACACACACGCATATACATACATATACACAGGGTTCTGTCTCCGTATAAACGGAAACGATTGTGAAGTAGCCACAACGACGAACCCACATGTTGTAACTAATTGTGTTTCCGAACGAAAAGGTTGCATCTTTGGAAAAACGGGCCCTTTTTTTTCCGGGAAAATGTAGAATGCAGAACAAATCATTGATCTGAATTTTCATCGGAAATATACATACGAAATCTGGACGCTTGAAAAAAAAAGCTCGGTGCCTTGGACAGTCTGAAGCAGAGCATCTGATTTTAATCCAGAAACTCTGAAAATCGAACAGAGCCTCAGATTCATGGGCTCATTTTCTCGGGAAACAAACAGAAAACTATTTCCAGACACAGAACGATTGGAAGAGAGAGATTCCGAGGAAGAGGCGTACCGTTAGTGGCCGGAGGAGGAGGAGTGTACGGCGCCGGAGGTGTTGGATATGGCGCAAGAGGGACTGGCATTATTACTCTTCCAAAAATTATAAAATAATTAATTAAAAAGAAAAGGTCGATTCCTTTTTCTGTTATTGTTCTTAATATTCACTCCACCAACAAGGGGAAGAAAAGAAGAACAGAGAATGAAAAAAAAGGGTTAGCGCCCCAGAAGAAGAGGGCACATCTCTCTCTCTCTCACCTGGATATCTACAGATTAACACGAACCAATAAAAAGCAAGAAGAAAGTCGTGTTGCTGCTCATGTGGAAAGCAAAAAGCTAAATGCTTGAAAATTCAGAAACATGGAGGCTGTGACTGAAGACTACTTTTGACATTTGTGTATGTACCGTAGAGAATGTGTGTGTGTGTGTGTGTCCATATATGTGTAATGCAAACGGGGTTCGCAGAGAGCGAGAGAGAGAGAGAGAGAGAGAGAGAGAGAGAGAGAGAGAGAGAGAGAGAGAGAGAGATGTAAAAAATTGAAGCCTTATGCGGGAGTGGGGCAAACACACACCCCTTTTGCAACTTGCCTCTATCACAGAGAGAGAGAGAGAGAGAGAGAGAGAGAGAGAGAGAGAGAGAGATTGTCTATTGTGTGTTTGTGAGTTTTTTTTTCTGTCACTGTATGTATTTTCAGCAGTGTAAAAAAAATTGACAAATTTGGTCGTTTTCATCTAATCTGATGAAATTTAAATCGTTTTCCACTTTTACTATACATGAAAAATTAGAGATTTTATTGCATTGAGATGTTATTACAAGAGATTTTAAGAGCTGAAGAAAATCGTCCGATTTTGTCTTTTTTATTTTTTAAAATAAAATATAATAGGGAAAGTTTGTAATAAATACACCTGCAAAAACTAGATACAATGTTGGGCCATGCAATGCAACACTGAAATTGCCATTGAAACAAACAACCATGGAAATTTATGGGAATTTGGTGTGGCCCCTGAAACTTCAAACCCTAAATATACACACACATATATATATATATATTAAGAATTTACACGTACATAATTCTTTTATATGAATAAAAAAATATATAAAAAAAAAAAATTAAGAATGAAATTGTGGTGATATCTATGGTGGGATATCAGTATCATATCACTCCACATGTGACCTCGTCTCTCGTCGTCGTCATCGTCTTTATAAAACCTTATTTTGTTTTTGTGAACAAATCATTCGTGCGAGTTACAGAATTGTTATACGATTTTACTTTTTGTTTTTAGTGAATATAATTTTTTATATAGAAATAGTGCTCTTTAACAAATATCTTTTTTTTTTTTAATTTACTGAATATTTCTAATACGAACAGTTTTAAATTCGTAAATGAAGACCTTTTCCCGCTACGTTGATTAAATTTTTAAAAAAAAATAAAAGTTAATCTATTTCTATTATTCTATATGTAGTTTCCACACTAAATCTTTAGATCCAATATATTTCTAATATAAGGAAAATTCAAAAATAAAAAAAGGCCAATTAACATACGAATACAGTAGAAAGAATCTATAATCATATAAAGGAGAAAATATAATATTGACTATAAATCCGGATCAAAATTTGATTAAATCGGTAGGTCCGAACATTGGCTTTAAAACCATATACTATATTATTCAGAACTAAATGAAAGAAAAATAAAATATCAATAATGAACTCCCCGGTCCGTCTTTATTCAGGTTTGACATTCAAGTAGACTCTATATGCGCATATAGACATGTATGATTGCATATATATATATATATACATGCACTTATATGCATACACATGTAATGGACCATCCACCATATTATAATATTTGTGGACTTTTCTCCGCATTTTATTTTCACCACCATTTTTTTTAATGATTTCATTGGAGAAAAACCATTAAATTTTCCTGAAACTATAACTGTATGATATAACTTCTGACTCAATATAAACAGACTCACACACAATTTTATATATATATATATATAGGCATTCTGTGCTCCGGTTAATGGCATACCGTACCGTACCAGATCAAAGAATCACAATCGAAATTCGGTAAAATAGGAAAAAAAAAGAAGGAAGAAAGAAACACAATCACACATGATAGAGTTGGTGACTGATTAGAAAGCTTGGAACTTTACGTCGTGTAGACCAAGAAGGCGAACCCTCTGACTCAAAAGGAGGCTATATGGGCAGGAGGGGACATGATTCTACCAGAAAGGCGACAAAAGGGTCGATTTCTAGGACACAAGATTTTCAGGCCACAGTGGAAAATCCACAATGTTGTCCTAAAGTAACAAAGCCAACATCAAAGATGCCATTTCCAGAAGCAAGCAAACAGGATAATTTCCAAGCACTACCCATACCATTCTCTAACATATGCTAGGGGCAGAGAATGAAGGAAAGGAAAACGACACTAACATGCCTTATACCATGACACCACCAATACATGTAATGCAAGTAAGCTTTTCACCTCATAAGATACATACATACACACACACACACACACATATATAATATACATGTGTGTGATTTGAGGAATGGGAGAAGGAAAACAAGACAGACAATGTTTTGTTTGAGTGAAAAAACAGGAAAGGGGTCATGCTGAACAATGGAAGTTGACGTCTCTAGAGAAGCCAAGACAGCCATTAAAGAGCGGCTATGGATTGTACACGTCCCTAACATGCCCACTTAACAGTGATGGCTCATCACCAGATAGATACAGAAACCCATTTTTTTAAATGATGCAAGACAAAAGCTTATGTGACTAACGCGGAACATGGCGATGCGTATATAATAGTGTTTTAACAATGAAATGAAAGGCTCTTATCGGTTTTCCTTGCATTCACAATTTTTGAGAACAGTTTATTTTTCAGTCCCTACTTGCAGATGATCAAATCAAGAATTTGGATAAGTTTTTGGGTACTTACCCTTTTTCAGTATCCGCATCAGAGTTCCCATATACGGCGGAAAAGTAGTAGCTCACAGTCTTTGGCGTTAGGCCAGGGAATCTGTGGAAGCCACCGGGTTGGGGATCAATCTTAATGAAAGGCCATTGCATTGTCTGAGCGGCCGCACACTCTTCCCATCCATCCCCGATAACGCAGAACCTGTAATTTGGACGGTTGAAACGCTCCACGATCCATTTGAAACATTGAAGCTTGCCAACTTCCCATGAACTGTACACTGAGGATGAGGAAAAGAATGGAGATGCATTGTACTCAATACCCATCAACGGAAGTTGAAGATTAATTCAAGCAAGTGCATGAAGGGTAATTTCTATAATAGATCTTCATTTAGAAGCATACCATTATCACAAGTTATAAAAGTGTCCAAACGAAAAAGCAGGCACTTCACAAGGCTAGGGATCAGAGCTCCAGAAGTCACCAAGATATGTACATTCTGCAAACTTGGATTGACAGTATTTGACCCGTCCGAAGAAGAATCACCGTTCCCATTTGAACATTGATCCAAGAAGGATCGTGCTGCATTTAAGACATGACCGAGCATTGTGAGGTACTATTTCGTCATGGTTCAAGCTCAGGATGGCAATCAAGAAAAATATATACCTGAGGATAGCCAATGATCTGTGTATTCATCGGTTACGTTATATAATTCATCAAGTACCCTTATAGTATCACTATCAACGGTTTCGTGTAAACCCTGCAGAAGAAACGGAGAGAGATTTGAACTCGTGTCATATAAGATCAGCCAAATGCAATAGAGACAGAAAAATATATCTATACCCTTTTGTATTTGTTTGCTACAGCTCGATGCCTGTATGCAAGCTTTCTCTTGTTCAACTCGTCTGTAGGAGTACTAAATCCATCCTGCCTGAAATTATAATCAGAAAGATCCATCCCGTCATCATATCGTCTCAAGGAATCAAGAAATGGCTCGTTGAAATCCTCAATCTGCAACACCAGAGAGCATTGAACGAGTTCCGATTACCTCACTTTCTCTTTTCTTTTAGGAGACAACAAAGTTAAAATGTAAGAGGTATATGCAAGTAAAGGACAAGACAACTATAAGATTACTTGCTCGTAGAAGAAACTTTCATCACACATCTGAAGTATGTGTTTCTCCCACAATTCTCCAATCTCTACACCCTTTTTCACATCTTTGGAGCCATTAAAAGACTCTGGATATGTTCCATTTAACAGAGATTTAAGTAAGATAAGAGTCTCGTCCATGTCCCAGATATACACATTAACTGGTCGGCCTTCAGGAAGCGAATCTTCGACCTTTTGCGAAGAAAAAGCTGACATTTCATTCAAAATCTGCCCTTTTTCCCTGGCTGAAACAAGTTAAACATGTAACAAAGGATAATCATTAAGCTACAAATTCTCACAATACCCATGTGAAAATGATCCGTAATTGGATCAAATTTGGAAAATTTTTCTTCTTCAGTTCGATCATACTAACTATAATGACAGTATCCTCTATACGATAGAATCCGTTCAGAAGCTCCATTAACACAGAGACCATTTGACCATAACACCCGATACAATCCCAGACATTGATCAAGAAGAATCCTCAATCTAACATTCACAACATTTGTCCGAATACAGCAATACCCATCACGTAAAAATCCAGAAAACTATTCGAGCCCTGTCACTACCCAGACATCCATGGTGGTCATGATTAAAACATTCTTAGGTCGAATAAAATCCACGAAATTGGGTTCAACGAATAGGTTAACAGAACCTAGATTCAATAGAAACTGAAGAAAGATTGAAAATTGAAAATCGCGAAAGATGATCTTACAGGGCGATAAGGTCAGCGAGTTCGAGCTTCGAAGCAAAGTCCGGTGACTTACTTCAGCGTTTCACGACGATGAAGTAAACGCAGCAGTGACTAGTGAGGGCGTGGGTTTCTAAAGGATGACCCAATGGGCCCAAAAGAGGCCCAAAGTATCTCTCTCTATATATATATATATATATATAACCAAACCTGGATATGGAACATTATGTAATACATACACAAAAGAGTTTGATTAACACAATATAATTTTAATTATGTATAAATTATATGAACTAATTGTGGAAGGGTTAAGAATATTATCCTATAATTCCATTGTGGAATAGAAGGTTCATATATGCTTTTATCTATTATTTAATTTGGTGGGATTTTTTTTTCTTCATATTTGTATCTATCTAACATTAGGGAAATAAAATAAAATAAAATAAATAAAAAACGAAAATGCGAAATGAGAGTGATTCAATTAGGCCCATTACTTGGGTCATAGTATTTGGGCCCTACGGCCTAAAAACAAATGTTAAAAGAACAGAAACGGAATAGAATCGAAGAATTGCATTCAAGATCACACACTCATCAATGGCGGTTTCCACGGTGTGCGGTCGTCTTTCCTTGACGCCTAATCTCTCCATCAAGCCTAAACCCAAAGCCAACGGAAGACCGAACACGAAGAAGTTGTCAGTTCGAATTCAAGCTTCCTTCTCCGACCCGTTTGTACTTCAATTAGCGGAATCTCTTGAAGATTCTCTATCCGCTTGTCCTTCTTCTTCGTTATCATCCTCGTCTTTGCCCCTCCAGAGAATCCGAGATTCTTCCGCTGAGGCTCTTCTCTCGACGCCATGGCCGTCGCGAAGAGACGAGCCTTTCCGTTTCACCGACACTTCCTTCATCCGACATTCCCAAATCGAACCCGTCTCGACCAAGCAACGAAATTCGAAAATCTTGGAGGATCTGACGGAAACCGAGTTCCCAAACGTCGTGATAATTGACGGGTTCGTAGCGAGTTTTTCGGTTGATCCGTCCGATTTTCCCGATGGGGTTTACGTCGGAAGCTTTACGGGTCTACCCGATGAGATTTCGGGCCGGGTATCTGAATTCATCGGCGATTTCGATTCGGGTGATCTCTTCTGGTCGATTAACGGAATGGGTGCACCGGATTTGACGGTGATTTATGTTCCTGTCGGGTGTAGGGTAGAGAATCCGATCCTTCTGAGGTACTTCGCCGGCGAAACCGGTGACCTGCAGTCGAAACGGTTACCGGTGTCGAATCCTAGGGTTTTTGTGTTGGTGGAGGGAGGAGGAGAGGTGGGTATAGTCGAGGAATTCGTCGGAATAGATGAAAATGGGTTCTATTGGGCAAATCCGGTTTTGGAAGTCGTGGTTCGAGAACGTGCAAAAGTTAGACATACGTACTTGCAGAGAGAATCCATGGCTGCTGCTCATATCAAGTGGACCTCTGTCCGACAGGTTTGTTGTGTTCGTGTCTTCTCGTTTCTGTCGATAGCAGTCTGTGCCTTGTTACTTTAGTTCTACTGGTCTTTATCGTTCTTCTGATCTTGAAGTTGTGACATTGGAGGAAGTGAGCGACAAACTAATCTAGAGTGCTTGCTTTCGTAGTTTGTGCATCAAAGAAGTTGGAAATTCAGAATATTTATGCTGAATTGTTGCTGAAGATGCACGGTTTAGTTTATCGGAAAGATAGATAGAACACAATTATATCAAGTACTGAATGCTGCTTTCGTAAAATCTTGAATCTTGTTGCATAGCGAGACTGGCTAGTGAAAAAAAACAAATGTGAATTTTGAGAAGAGATGGATCTCTGTCTCTGCAGGAGAGGGAGAGTAGTTACGAGCTCGTGGAAGTGAGCACGGGTGGAAGATTGGGGAGACACAATGTGAATGTGCAGCAGCTAGGGCCCGAAACCGTGACAGAGCTAACCACTTTCCATCTGTGTATTGATGAGCAAACACTTGATCTGCACAGCAGAATTGTCTTGGACCATCCACGAGGCTGTTCTCGGCAACTACACAAGTGTATCGTAGCTCATCCTTCGGGTCAAGCTGTTTTTGACGGCAATGTCAAAGTTAACAAGTAAGCTCTTTTGCTCCCTTTCCTAAGCGTTATTAGTCAAATACCCCGAAGAAAACGGCTCTGTTTCTCTAATCTCGATGTACTTAATTTGAAGGCTATAGTGTATGACTGTATGAGTGTATTCACACTCTTAAGACTATGACCAAGCTGGTTATCATGCGCATTTTTTGCTAATAATTGTCACACACTTTTCTTGTTCGTCCGTGTACGTACCTGCGAAACGAGCAATGCGGAACACGGAAATTTTCCCATTTTTCCCTGTGACATAATAATGCTTTGAGATCTATGATGTCTGTAATGGACTTAAAGTAAGTGCATTTAATGCATAAAATGGGCCCCTCTGCGGGTGCAATTAGAATCTTATGGCATTTCTGCCGATTATTAATGGAGCCGCAACAACGTTAAGCCTTTGCAGGTTTTAGGAATTTCGATGCTCATAAATGCCGTAGGCTTCACAAGCAAGTTTTTTGAGACTGGTTGAAATATGAACTATTGAATGCATACAATAGGCTTCGATGTTACCGTACTTTTGGCCCCCTCTGTGGTTGTAATAGGAATACTATGGCATATCTGCCGATTGATGGACCGACAACAATGCTAACCCTTCGCGGGTTTTGAGGGATCTCGATGCTAAAACCATATTATTTATGCAGATACGCACAACAAACCGATGCAGGGCAACTAACACGGAGCCTGCTATTGGAAAAACGTGCAACAGTGAACGTGAAACCGAACCTTCAGATAATAGCGGATGACGTGAAGTGTTCGCATGGAGCTGCTATAAGCGATCTGGAGGATGACCTTCTTTTCTATTTCCGTGCTCGAGGGATCGACCTTGACACCGCTAGAGGAGCTCTCTTGCTATCATTTGCTTCGGAGGTGATTGAAAGTTTGCCTTATAACGAAATCCGTGACCAAGTCGAGGGACATGTGAAAGGATTGTTGCAATCCGGCCGTAAAAGCTTACCTCAGTAACGGAAAGTTTAAGCCTTTGGAGAGAAACTTTTCTTGAGGTAAGAAAGAGAGGGGAAGATGATGAAGAGAATTGATTGGTGAAGCGACCATAAGTTCTTTGATCTCGGATTGTTGGTGAAGTCAGTCGTACAATGTCGTCTAGTTATCGTCTATAGTGTCAGTCCTGCTAGGGATGGGGCTAGGTATCCAAGTTTTCTGGTGTAGCCGACTTTGGTTTTGCCCCCCTCGGGTTCCGTCACCAAACTACCGGGGCTTGGCCTCATCCGGTAAGGGTCGAGATCTTGGTTGGTCGTGATGAGACGAGCAACGATTGGTGACAAGGCGATCGACAAATGGTAGCGAGCAGAGGACGAACAACGACCACCACGAGGTGTCGTTTTCGGGAATGAAAGCCGGTTAAGTCGGTTTTAGGTAAGGAAGGGTAATTTGGAAATTTGCAATCAGGGGTAAAGGACCCCTAAACTTTTTTTCTATAATAAATGGGGAAGTTTCTTGTGAAATAAACTGTATCACAAGAAATGATTATGAAATTGAATTAGCCAACATTCTTTCCTCTCAGCGTTGAATAAAGGATTGGGTCGTCATCCATCGCCACAGTCTCTCCTCGTCATCCTCTTGATGACGGCGGCATGTTTTCCAAGTCCAAAGAGACCAAACTAGGAAGAGAGAAACATCAAGGCTCCCAACACTGGGAATGTAATAAGCGCAGATGCCTGAGATCCATTTGTGAATTTGTCAGCCGAAAACCCCTTTTCTTGTGAATTACACAAAACATAAAAGAGTCCGGGTTCCGATTAAAAAAGCAGCGTACCACGAAAAACACCACTTCCCTATTCGCAAGAGCCGCCGTAACATCGCTCTTCTCCATCTCGCGTTTGATCCAACCCTGCAACTACAAAATAGGCTGTATTTGCAATAGCCATTGCGGATGTCTGTTGGCAATTGTAAGCGAATGAGGTCGACTCGTTGATCAAATATTGTCGGGAGTACCACCGCAAGGGTGTATTGTACCATGCAACCATGGTGTAAAATGGGCTGGCTCAGCCCAGTCCAGTCCAGTCGAGTCCGTCTCGATCTTACAATTTTTTAGCTCAACAAAGTCCTGACTCGTTTTTTGGCGAACCAAACAAGTCGGCTCGCAAGCCAAATAAATGACTAAAAAATAAATATTAAATATTAAAAACTATTTAAAAATATAATAAATATTATAAATATTTTTTCCTAGTTCTTGGGCTCGCTAGGTTGGCTCGTGTTCGATCCGTTTTTTTTTCGGACTCCAATTTTTTTAGCCCAACTCAAAAAAATATGGACCACCTCGTGAGCTAACCCGCGAACCGAACCCATTTTACACCCCTACGTGTAGGAGACTACAACGACAACACCTCAACCAATACACCAAAGTTACTTTCTCACTATGATTAATGATAATTTTGTTTAAAAAATTTATTATTTTTTTACTATTATTTGATCATTTTCATCAATTTCATTTATTTTTTAACAAAAAAGAAAGTATTTTAGGGTTTTATTTTTTTAAACGAAAGCATTTAGGTGCCTTTAGTAAAACATCACAAATCGCTGTATAAATGTAGGGAGATTAGAAATGCGATTGGATTTATCATATTTTGTTAGCGAATTCGATTAAATCAATTAGTTTTCTAATCACACGCAACCGCCAGGACTCACAAGCACTGCGTTTGCGGGCGATGTCGCCCTGACAACCGGTTGGGTGTTCAGATAACTCGCAGCTCAAGTTACATATGAATTCTACACAAACCTGGTGGTGGTACTTTGTAACAGCTGCCCAGAATCCCTTTAACTGTGACATAGGTTCTGATAGGTAACATTCCATTGAATGCTTCCATTCCTTCAAGCAGACATCAAACGTTTCATGAACTTTGGGAAGATGTTTTTCCAGTAGTTCGTTAATAAGCTACAAAAGCAATGACACATTAATCACAAGTTTATTTGAGGTCAGCCGCATGAATTCTTTTTTTTTCCGGTTTTTCGGTTAAATCTTCCGAAATTTGTAAACATTTCAAATCATTAGTAATCACTCTGTGCTCTCTTATTCCTATATTATCTAACTTTCTCACCGAAAGGTCCGAAACATATGTCAATCTACGTTTTACATGGCCAAACAAACCACCTTACATGTCTCTCTCTCGTAATTTCTCTTCTATATGTACTGCTTCATTTTCTCCCCGATACTTTCATTTCGAATTCTATCCATTCTTATAAACAAAGGGTTTCAAGTTTTCACAGGAATGTGAAATGCAAGTCAGTGAAATACATTATCAATGCACTGAGATAGTTTCTGGATCTAAGCACTGTGTACATACCTTCAAGAAGTTGCATCTGTTAGTTCTGCTGTGCCTTCGAGCATTGAATTCTACCATCTGTAAGAAGGCAAACCCATTGTCACTGACATGATTCTATTCCCAACTTGATTGAAAATCCAACCTTTTTCTTAACAAGAATTCCGAAAATCATATTCTCAGGACCTGCTCAAGGTGCTGAATTTGAATCCACTGCTCCGTCACAAAGTCCGACATCTAAATTGAGAGCAAAATAGATCAGAAATTAACTGGAGAAGCTTCTATAAACCTTAACCTGCTGTAGCAAATCACACAAGCTGGAGGGAGAAACAATCTGACAAGAGATGAGCAGAAAATCTGAAGTGAAAGTAAGCAAAATCTTATTTAACAAACCCATTCAAGTTATGCTCACAATTTTAAACGGGGACAATAGCGTATAACTGAATGAGATCTTATTTAACAGACCCTTCTCTTTTACAATGACGAGATGTAACAAATGATTCAAATCTACAAAGAACAAGTTTGCATTTCATGAAAAAAGAGACAAGGGTCAATACAAAAACAGGTACCTTCTCAACTTCCAAAGCAGCAACTTGTACTTTATCATCAGCCTCTCTTTCTTTTTCCTTTAAAATGTGAAGATCGAAGTTGGAAGCTCTCAAGGCAGCCCATAGAAGTTTAACCTAACATTATCAACACTGCTCTTTAGATTAGAGTTGAGTTCAAGTTGAAACTAGAGTAAGACAAAACGATGTTGTGGGAACTAAACTCAAGAACATAACTAAACTGAACAGTTGATGAAATATATATATACCTCTTCTTCCAACTCCCTTATCCATTTTTGAACCTCAGGTAAGTCACTCTGTAATCAAGTTGTGAGTAGTATCAACAAAATGCTAGTACAATTACACGTTGAATTTTTAGTAAATTGATCCAAAATAGGAACTAACAGAGACCCGAATTTGGCGAGAAACAACATAATGAAACCACATGAACTAACTAAAAAAATTAGTAAAAAAATTGCATCATGGGTCAACACTATTGACATGTTTTTTGCATCAAAGAATAGTCTAAGCAAGCTCCTTGAGCTGAACCAAAACCGACCTTGACACTTGATAGAGCAGACTGCAGATCTCGAATCTGACTGTCTGAATCTTGAATCAAAACCTCGCGATCTTTCAAGTAGAGGGTTTTCGAATCAACGTTCCGTACGGTTTCCTCAAGCGCGGTTTCTGCGTTAATCAATCCGAATCAAAACCCACCAAAAGACCAAACACAAGTATCCGACTTTCAACAAACCCACAACCAGAAAACCATTTCAGACATAAAAAACCAGAAGATTTAACAGCTGAATTCGTTACCCAATTGAGCGATCTTGAGCTTCGCTGCGTCGATATCATTGATCAACTGCTGGTCAGGGTCCTTCTGCTGTGCCGTGGAGAGGGCGAAGAGTGATGAAATTAGAAGGGGTACAACCAGGGTGAAGTAAAATCGCATGTTAGGCTCCGGATTGTTTTGGATCGCCTGTTTTTTCTCCGGCAAGGTTTTCCCGGCGTATGATGGATGGTGTGTCAGGTTTGGTTCATCGGACAAAACCAGAAAAATCAAATAACAAATATTTAAATATTTAAAAAATAGGCCCATTTTGATGGCTAAGCCCATATATAATTTTTAGGGCCCGCTAATGGCCCATTTAAACTTGTCTCGCCAGAAGAAGCGTGGTGCGCGTGCGAAAAGTCATACGCGCATTAGTAGCGCGTTAAAGCCACCGCCTCAAAATCCGCACCCTATAATCCACAGATTTCGGAAGATTTCCGATAATTGAAGAATCATGGCGCGTGGAGAAGCTCTCAACAATTTATTTCTCGCCCTTTTGTAAACCAAATAAAACCCACAGTTTTAATTGATCCTTTATTTCCGCAAACACTTTCGAATGTTTTATGGTTAGTAAAACTTAAGTTATAAACTAATGCATGTACACACGCACACGCATATATAACATGTATCATCGTTTGCTATTTTATAATAAAGGGATAAACCCAAAAAACTTGAAAATTCATGAACTTGTAACTTGGTATAATATTAATTCATAAATTTATAGGTGCGTATATTTATTCCCGAACTTGTATTTTTGAATATAGTAATTTCTAAATTTGCTTAACAGTTCCATAATTGTCTATATCACTAATTGACCAAAGCAAAGTTTAGGAATTACTATAATTAAAAATTCAAGTTTAGGAATTATTGTGTTAAAAAATATAAGTTCAGGAATTAATTTGTTCAAAAATGTAAGTTCGGAAATAAATAGGTGTACCTACAAGTTCAAAAATTAATATTACACCAAATTAAAGTTCAGAAATTTTCAAATATTTTTTCCTAAATAAATCTTCTATTTAAAATTCATTATAATAAACCATCAACTATTTTTTTTTAGTTAAAAACCCATCAATTATATAAATTATTTAAAAATAGAATTTCACCTTAAGCTTGTTAGAAAAAATCATCAAATCTAAATTATTTAAAAAATATTATATTTTAATTTTGTTATAAAAATCTATAAAATTTCAATAGAAAAATATATCCTCTAGAATTCTTGCATACCGATATACTCTATAGACTAAAATCGTTAAATTTTTCCCCTCGACGATCCGAATCAGCTCATCCTTTACCTCTTCACTGAATGGCATACCGTGTTCTTGAGTATCTATACTCTGTTCCATTTATGTACCAAATTCATATTTTATTTTTGGGATATTAGACAATGTATTTTATAAACAAAATGAAGAAAAAAAATACTTCAATCTAATTCTAAATTTCTAAGTAAGGATATACATGTCTTTAGTAGGCATCATACTGAAATAATCAAAACTTATAAATATTTAGTAAGATATTGAGGTTAGTCTAAATAAATATTCAACTCATCTTAAACCTTTTCGCTTAACAATATCGTAATTCTCATTTATTCGGTCAAAATCCTTATATAGATATACTTTCGCCTTTTTAGTTAGTGCGTGTTTCTCTTTATCGAGGATAGGTGGTACCCAAAAAAGAATTACCATTTTGATAAGTTTGATTATAAGAAGTCCATGTTTCTTTTCCATAATTTTCAGATGATTTCCCACATTACCCACGCAAAAGCAAATAAACACATATATAGGCTACTTAATAACAAGTCTATGAGGTAATTACAAACTTATATCTACACATACACATAATATATTAAACATAATAACAAACAGATTAAGTATCATACTTTCTTTTCCTTCGTGTCCCTTGTCTATGGTATGCTTCTTAATCAATTTAATTTCCTTTCTGCACCTTCTTGCTTATGGTTGCTCATTCATTTTTGCTCTACTCCTCCATGACATTTGTTCTCACCTCCAACAAGTTTAGTTTTCTCTTTATCTTCGAACGTTTCACATACACTCGGAAAGATATATTACAAAAACAATCATAACCCAAGAATCTAAAGAAGTATATCGACAATATTTGCGTGATTTGAATATGTTACCAACCTCATTCTGCCTTGGCGCATGCGCAGTTTCCAATCCCACGGCTTCTCGGGATTCAGAGAAGTCCACAATCTAACACCCCTTTTTCGCTTTCTCTTCCCATTGTTTTTATATTAAAAATACGTTTTGATTTTATAAATTTTATTAGCCAAAACAAATTGACACAATTATTTATACCTTCGTAAAATTCATTATTTGGTCAAAATACTCATAATGCCATGCGAATCCTTTTCATAGCATTATTTCTTACATCATTAAATCATCAAATTTTATTGTCAACGAAAAGTGATTATAGTTAGTATGTAATAATGGTCGATACATGTATAAAATTTTCATTGTATACACATCCGCTAGAAGTCTTGCATACCGATATACTCTATAGACTAAAACCGTTAAATTTTTCCCCTCGACGATCCGAATAAGCTCATCATTTGCTTTTTCACTTAATGACATCCCTCATGAATATCTATTACTCTGTTCTATTTATGTACCAAATTCACATTTTGTTTTTGAGATATTAAACAATTTGTTTTATAAACGAAACGAGAAAAAAAAATATTTACTTCAATCTAATTCTAAATTTCTAAGTAAAGATAAACCTGTCCTTAGTAGGCATCATATTGAAAGAGTCAAAACTTATAAATATGTAGTAAGGTCAAAATCCTTATATAGATATGCTTCGTCTTTTTATTAGTCAGGGCGTGTTTCACTTTATCGAGGATAAGTGGTACCCAAAAGTAATTTACATCAATGAAAATATTTATATCATCGTCATCTGGCATGATATTCTTATCAACCTGATATATCATTAATTATCTAAATTTCTAACAATTCGTAAAACAAAAAACTAATCGATTTGAAAGTTTTCTAACCTTAAAATTTTCAAATTCAAATAGAACTTTATAAAATGAGAAGTTGGAGTGCCCAACAAGAATGTGAAGTCCATGAAAAATTGAGCTTCTCTGTTACAGTCAAGTTGACAAGTTTGATGGTGTAAGAGAGGTTGTTTCGAAAATAGTCGTCAATGTCATCTCTCATGGCAGTTGGTTGCTATGGCCATATCAGAGGCTCAATTTTTCATAGGTTGCTCCAACTTTTCATCTAATAAAGTTCTTTTTGAATTTAAAACTTATAAGGTTGGAAAATTTCTAAATCAATTAGTTTTTTCGTTTTATCGTATTGTTAGTAACTTAATAAATTAATGATATATTAGGTTGATAAGAATGTTGTGTCAGACGACGATGGTATAAATGTTTTCATTGATGTAAATTATTCTTGGGTACCACCTATCCTCGATGAAGTGAAATACGTAGTGAGGAAAAGGGCGAAAACATATTATATAAGGATTTTGACCGAGTAAATGAGAATTACGATGTTGTTAAACGAAAGTGTTTCAGGTGAGTTGAATATTTATTTAGACTCAAATCAATATCTTACTAAATATCTATAAGTTTTAAATATTTTAGGATGATACTTGATAAGAACGGGTATAACCTTACTCAAAAATTTAGAATTAAGTAAGAGTAAGTATTTTTTTTCTTGTTTTGTTTATAAAACAAATTGTTTAATGTTCTGGTTCCGAAAACAAAATGTGAATTTGGTACATAAATGGAATAAAGAAATAGATTCTCCAGAGTATATGATATATCATTCGGTGAAGAGACAAAAGATGAGCTGATTCGAATCGTTGAGTGGAAAATTAACGATTTTAGTCTATGGAGTAGATCAGTATGCAAGACTTCTAGTGGATATATATACCAATGAAAATTTTGTATAGGTATCTACCATTATTACATATTAACAATAATCATTTCTCTTTGATAACAAAATTTGATGGTGTAATGATGCACAAAATAGTGCAATGAAAGGTATTCACATGACATTTCGACCAAAGAATAAATTTTGCAAAGGTATAGATAGTTATGTCAATTTATTATGGCTAATACGGTTTATAAAATTATAATGTGTTTTAAATGTAAAAACAATGAAAAGCGAAAAAAAAGTGTTGGATTGTACACTTCACTAAATCCCGAGAAACTGTGAAATTGGAAATTACGCATACACTAAAGCATTATAAGATTGATAGCATATTCACATGGCACATTTACTTCACTCATATTTGAGTGGGGTCTCATACTCATATCAAAATTTTAATTTAATAACAATTTTATTAAATTTTAATAAAAAAAAATACCCCATAAATTGTTTTTCTGGACCTCCTCTACTCTTTTTTTTCTCTCTTGAAATTAGATATTTACTCCCACTAATAATCTCTCATCCGCCACTATACCTAAGCTCATTGGGCTTTTCAGGAGAGTCTGTATGAGCTTCTCTATCAGCGGATTTTATGTAGAATAGTTGGCCAGAAAATAGGCCCATGATTAAGCCCAAATATATTTTTCAGGGCCCACTATTGGCCCATTTTAACATACTGCTAGACCGCGCGAAAAGTCCACAGGTTTTGGAAGATTTCCGATAATTGCGGAACCACGATACTTTATTTCTCGCCGTTGCTTTTTAACCAAAAAAAACCCACTAGTTTTAATTGATCCTTTTGTTTTCGCAAACACCACACATGCTCGACATTTGTCATATGACTACTAGGGCTTTAAATTTGGGAATTCAAAGAGTGGAAAATGATATTCAGCAATTCCATTTTTCTCCTAACCCTTTTTTTTTATCAATACTAATTATAAACCCGCATATTTAGAGTGTGACATAATTTTTTAACGCATATGTTTTCTCTTATTTCGCCAACTGTGACATTTCATTGTCCACCCACCTCTCTCCATCACATGGCCATGGCCATCCCTCTCCACAAGGGTATTCCAAATTTAGAACTTGTTCCCGGGGGGAATGCTTCCAAGATGGCAGCTTTTGGATTTTGTCATAGAACATTTAGTGTATCAGAGATTAACTCGAAACTCATCTGACTCATCCGGCTTGGTTTGTTTCCGAAATCAAAAAGGGCATTTCTCATTAAATTCAGGAGATGACAATACCTCGCGGTCGAACACAATCCCCCACGAAGATGGTTGGATGATCAAAGTGAAGCCAAGCATTCCCTCGGAGTTGGATTCCTTGATGGATCCAATGGAATCCACCAAGTTCTGCCAGGAAGAAGATGCTTCTCACTAAAATTCTCGGCCTTTGTATACCGAATGCCCTAGAAAGAAAACCAAAATGAAAACAAGAAAAACAGCAGAGTCATCGATCACAAGTTCAATCAATCAATGTCTCACCTTTCAGCTTCTACGAGTCAGCCTTCCATTTGCTTACCTTAATTCATTCCACCATTACAAAATAAACGAAAGATATCTAACAAAACACACAGAGAATGCATGTTTCATCGATTTTCCATCATTCGATGAAAATGAAACGTCTTTTTTCAACCACACCAAAGCTTATAATCGTCTCCTCTTTAACCATATAGAAGATAAGTTTTATACCAACTGTACATTTCTCCAAACTGCTATCCGTGACACACACCATTGCAGAAACCATTGCTGGGCAACGGGGAAATGGCGGCATCTGGTGACTGGACGTAGGAAAGTGAGATGAGTTCAGACCTGAGCCTCTCTGCCTCATCTCCAGTTTCCGGGTTGGCACCATTTGTGATGTTTTTGTTTCCGGGTGAAACGTCCGACGGCTTAGACTCCTCGGGTGAGGAGTAAGCTATCGCGATGAGAGATTCCCGAGCTTGATCCTGAGTAGCCTTGTCACTCGGTCGTTCCATCAATTGCTATGCGCTTCTGCATTTTCCGTGGAGGAACACATTCGTCTAACATGAGTTAATACGTTATATCAAAGCATGAATCTACTCAAGATCAGTATTCTGAGTTATGGAAACACAATTTCATTGTGGAGCATAAGCTTTGGCGAGTAATCACCATTCAGTAATCAGTTAAAGCTTTGTGTCATAGGGCAATAGAAAATCACACATTTCACAAAGAGATGAACACCAAAGGAATCGTGAAAGCAAAGCCAAATTCTTCAACAACTGAAATCTCGAATGGTCAAAGTTAAGTAAGAACTTATTCACAAAAACACTGAACAGAGCGTATACAAAAGATCAGAACTATGCAAATCCATGACAAACTCAAGAAATCCATTTCTTCATGTTTGGCGGAGTAGAAAAATCTAAGGAGAATACGATTAAAACACAGACCTATCAAAAAATAGAAAAGAATTCCAAATCCCGAGGTCTGGATCTACAAACCACGGAAATCGATACACCGATTCTCGTAAAGGACCTGAAAACCTAAAATCCCCAAAGTTTCATCAACGCCCGTTCTTCGTTTATCCCTTATCAAAATTTCGTTGAGATATTCTCGGGAAACAAACAGTTATACTAATAAGAGCTAGAAAGAGCCAGCAGCAAACCCAAAAAAAACCTAGGCGCGAACCGATCCAACAACGAATCAACAGCAATCCGAAAACAAAACCCTAAGGAGCGAACCAATCCAGCAACTCATACAGATCAAATCCTGAAAATTTCGTTTCCTTTTCACAATCTTCGCCTCCAGAGGCATTTACTCGAAATTTTCTCGGGAAACAGAAGGGAAAACAGATTCAATAGCACGGATTCGAAGAAGATGAGAGAATAATCGGGAGATCCAAGGAAGAAACACGCACCTCGTTGATTCAGGCGGCTACGGAAAATGGAAACTTCGGGACAAATTGGATAATTCCTGCGATTTTATTGGGTGTGCCATTTCCCCTACAATTCTTTTTATTTGATATGCTCATACGTATTGCTGACTCAGGCTTCACCTATCTTCGAAAAAAAATCCTCTAATTTCCTAAAACCTTCGTTTTGAGCCATTATTTCTTTAATGATCAATTAGGCCCACAAAAAGTTTGAGGTTTATCGTAATATCAGATGGGAGTCGGTCCGTCACTTAGAGCACCCACGAATTAATAGACTATTGTTATTCAAAGTATTGGCACGTTATAACAATTAATAAATCGCAGTTCCGTTAGTTTTATACGAAATTAGAAGGGCTTCAAATCAAAAGTATAATAATTTATTTAAATATCCAATATCCAATACCACGAGGGAAATTGAGAATTTGGTGTACACTGTTTTCATTTCAACGGTTCTCCTAAGATGGGTCATAGACAAATGTCTCAAATGTGATAATGTTCAACAAAGAACAGACCACCACCCTTCAATCATAGCGGTTTCGAATTCCTACGCCGAATATTTCAAAATTATAAAATTTTTATTTTGTAAATGCGTAATTATGCTGCCAATTTTAATTTACAGTAAGCCAAGCCTGTCGCAGACCAACATGCAAGCCTATGTTAGCTTCTTGTAAAGCAATGGCTAACCATTCAGACATACATATAATACAAAATCTTGTGCGTGTGTGTGTATATATATATATATATATGTGTATCCAAATTTAATTTCGTGATATGTTGTTTTATGCAACGTTACATCACTGTTTGTAAGGAAGACTGGTCCATGACCAGTACATGCAATTTGGAAGACCATATACATTTGTCAAATTTTTATAATAATATGAAATTGGCAATGTCTTATTTGTCTCTTTCTTTTTTTATTTTTTTGGAGAGGTTAATTAAATGATGACTTGATTGATGGAACACTAAAGAGATCTGTGTAATTTGCTGGCTTACAATCAAATGGACAAGTGGGCAAACCATCGGAACGGTTTGTTTGGATCGAACCGGTTCGAATAAACCGGCTGGTTTCAGTTTCATTAGTAATTCCGGTTCTAGGGTTAGGGTTTTTCTGTTGATAAATGGTGAAAGTAAACTACATAATTGAGCTCGGATTATAACTCTATCTCTTGGTTGAGTTCTTTTCTCTAATGAAATTAATATGGTACGTCCGAGATTAAATGAACCGATATACCACATGGAGGTGGACAAATTAATCGAACTGTAGTTTTTATAGTAAACCGGGTTTTGGTTAATGAGGCTGATAATGTTACGTATATTTGCGAAAGATATATGTGATTATAGAGTCCTTGCGTTCTAAACGAGGTTGCGGTTCAATTCATGGCGATATTTACATTTATCTATAATCACATATATATCTTTCGCAAATAGAGTTGAACCACAACCTCGTTTAGAACGCAAGTCAACTGTAACAAATTGAGGCTGATAATGTTACGTATACAATATAGTTAACGCCATGAATTATAAGATTATGATACGGTATTATATATGATCGTATATAAAGAGATAATGAATGGCTTATCTAATTGGGGAGATCTCAATCTAGCCGTGTATATATAACAAAAACGGAAGGTTTAGGTCATCATGATTAGCATTTTTTTTTAATTTAGTCGCTAATGCTGTTTTTATATGGTAAACTTATATATGTCCTAATAATCACACGTAATCAGATATACGAATCCTCTAGGTTATAATCTCTACCATTAATGTCTTATTTCATTAATGATGTTGATATATATATATACACATATATACTTCTACAGTTCATAAATACATGCATATATATATATATATATGTATGTATATATATATATAGATATGTATTACGAGTGGACCTGTATTAGGGTCATAATGAGAATATACAGTGGGAATGTGATGTCTCCAAATTCACTGTTTTCTGTCGTTATACAATCACTATATCTTAAGAGTGATCATTCACATATATTTGTCTAAGCTGAGTTAATTAAATATAATTGAAAATTGGCCATAAATTCGCATTATTTTAAATAAAGAAATAAAGAAAAACACACTAACGCTTACAAATGACTAATGCAGAGGATTAAATATATAATGTATTTATGAAAAAATATATCATAATGTTTCTTCAATATAATATAAAACAAATTAAAGTTGAAAATATATATTCACCATTTCACCTGTATATGTATTGCTCTCAACGGATAAAATGTGACCTGGACCAATGAAATTAAATGATAGTGGAACTAAGCATGGACTAAAATCAGGTTATTGTCTCCTTCAAGGCATATACATATATATATATATATGTACACACATATACACACACATATAATATACAAACACACATATATTATTCATGATGAAACTATACCATCCGTTTATAAAGTTTTCTAACAGAAAAAGGAAATAGAATGTCGTCACAATTTACGGATGTTGATATATTAATAAATTAAATAAATCAACCATATTATATATATATATATATATATAGAAGACAAACTGAGTGGGATCCAACTCGACCTCCCGCAGACTTCATATTGTAAAATGAAAAAAAAAAAGCATATTTAAAAATTCAGCTACAGCAAATGGGGAACATATGGCAAAAGCTGACGAGTGATTTGATTTTTTATTTGGTTTGATTTTTTTTGTTATTTATTTATATTTTTATTTAGCACTTTTCTTTTTCTTTTTCTTTTTTTTTTCCAAAAGTGGCTGACTATGACGCAAGAGAGAAAATCCGAATATGGTTTGATAAGTAAGTGCATGGACGTAATACGAGCAATTGCGTTTCATCGTAATCTTCCCAAAACTCTTATTATCCTTACTTAATAAACCAATTTACTCTATTTTATTGAGGTAATTAACCGACTGGTAATTTTTTTGAATTTCATTATTACTATTCACAAATTAATTTTGAAGTTGATAGTTTATATAGGATAAAACCCATAAAACTTTTTTAACTTTTTTTACAAAACTTTTTGCTACGTAAATTTATTCCCAAACATGCAAAATATGTTATTATAATTATTAAATTCATAAAATGTATCATTATAATTCTCAAATTTATTATTTAATATCAGAAAACCTTGATGATGTTGATTTATTTATTATTTTAGGAATTATAATGATACATTTTACAAATTTGATAATTATAATAACACATTTTGCAAGTTTGAAAATAATTTTGTTAGGCGAAAAGTTTAGCAATTTATTTTCCATCATTTCATAAGTTCTGAAATTTTTATAGATTTTACCAATGTATATATACACACATACACTCACACACATGACTTTATTGCTCAGAATTCAGTCATCAAAATCCAGTGTATTAAAACAAATTTAACAAGATTAAAATTCTACCAAATTTGGCACGATACAATCCTATCTAACACGGACAAGAGAATTTACAGAAAAAAAAAAACAAAAAGGCCATGATTGATACTATTTTGGGGTCAAAAGAAATCAAGAAAAAAATTTGAAATATTATATATATATATATATATATATATATATATATATTTAAAGATGACTAGTTAGTTGTATAGTGTTATGTCAATTAAATGTGAAAAATGGGCATATTTGACTCTACAATTTGTTTTCCGAAAGTACTGACTAGTGACTACACTCATTGTGTTCCACAATCAGGGCGTCTAATACCAACTGCAAAAGGTGTGACCGCACAGGGCCCAAAAAAATATAGGGCCTCAATTATTTTAAAAATTATTAGTAATATATATTATTAAATGTAATTCTTAATAATTATGTATACGGACCCTCAACAAAAAAAAATTATTTTAATTATATTTAAATATTATTATTATTTAATATATAAATTAATATATTTTAATAATTTAAAAATATGATGTGTACGGGCCCCAGAATTTTATGAGACGGCCTGTCCACAATTATAATCGAATGTATATATGTTTTTGTGAAGATTACCTTTTATAGTTAAACCACATTTTTTACCGTTGATGTATAAAAAAAATGCATGTATCTTCTAGAAAGGTCATCGTCCATTCGCGTTAAAAAAACATTAAGGACAGTTATATATGTATATATAGTGTGTATATATATACGCATTACATCTACAAACTACAAATCTGCTGGAGAGTGATCAATATTCATTAATTAGGAGTTATCAAAACAACTAGTCCATTTATAGTTTTATTTGATTTTTTTTTTTAATTTCTGATATCAAAACAAGAAAAAAAAAATATGAAGTATTTTTATTAATAAAAATGGTTATTAACTGTACGTCTCAAAATTACTGAAACTAATGACATAATCCACGTGTAAATACTACATAATCTGATAGATATAATCTCTACGACTAAGAATCAAAATTGAAAACGTGAAAAAAAAATTTAATTGGAAAAATCCACAAGAATAAGAACAAAGAACAAATTCTTGTCGGAAATAACAGGAAGAACATCACGTTAACTATACCCTCTTACGTTGCCACCGACGTGGATAACACATGCAAGGGTGAACTCACGTACCGTAAATATTATTCTTATATTCTACACACACACACACAAGATTGGATCCCTAAATTTCCGTCACTGAAAAAAAGAGAGAATATTTTTAATTCGTGTTGTGTTGATTTTGGAGTTATATTAGGACAAAATAAATTAAAATAACATGAATAATTAAGCGACAGAAGAAATATTCGATTCCTCTGATTTATGAGGTTTTCGGGGGAATATATGTCGGTATATGTCAGGGAATTTTCTTTGTCTAGGGTTAAAAGATTCTATTATTTATTATTATTCTCATCACTATTAAAGGGTTAAAACAATCCCCAGCTGACCTAAATTGAAATTTCGGAAAAGAGAATGGTCGATATCAAAAGGAAAAGCAAAAATTAAAAAATTTAAAAAAAAAAAACATGACAGAGACATCAGATACGGATCCCAAGCACTCTGATTTATTTGTGTATCAGAAGAGTGTTATATGCTTCCACGCTATGATTCTCAATTTTTTTTTTTTGCAATGGTAATGTCTCAAATTTTAACTGAAAATCACATTTATTTTACATTCTATTATAATCCCAAAATTTGCACATATAAATAAAATTTCCATTTTAAACGTACCAATGTGGTGGTGGTCATTTTCAGCTTGGAGTTATTTCTTACATCTTAGATTATTTATAAAAAAAAAATTCATTTCTGTAACGTGGTTTGTGTGTGTGTGTGTGATTATAAATGTTGAATCGTTAAACACATTGATTAAGTATAACAATGTTCAAAGAGTTCTCCTCTCACTCTCTTCAGCCCCACCTTCACGAAGATCCGATCAGCCACACAGAAAAAATAATAATTAATTAAATGGGAAAATATGCTTTTGGGTAATTTTTTTAATTAAAAAAAATGAAAAAGAAAAGAGAGGGATTGAGGATGTGGGGTGTCCCGTGTGAAATCTCCACCGCCCGAGTCCATATCCCAAACTTCTATTTATTCACATTTCCAAATCTTCACTTCTCCGCATATCCCCCAACTTGTTTCCCTCTCTTTAATTTCTTCCTTCATTTCAATTCTCTCTAATTATACCATCCAATAAAACATACACATTTCTGCTTTACTCTCCTCTCATACACATACATACACTAATACACACACACACACACACATATATATATATATATATATATATATTACTACAACAATGTCTTGCCTAGAGATATATAGCACAAAGGTTGGTTTGAAGATTCCTCCATCGATTTGTACTGCTATATATATTCACACTCTTCACTCCATATTCATAGAGATCAAACCTCTTCATATGAAAAAAAAAATTAAAAGAGAATTTCTTGTATATATCATTTAGCACTATACATTTGCAATCCTGCTCCGATCCGGGTTTGGTACGCGTCAATTAGAAATCTCGATGTAAACTTGGTAGTGTAGAAATATGTGTTATGTGTATACCTATACATGGAGCCTGAAGTTCCAAAGCATGTGGTTATTCGAAGTTTATTTATGTATGTGAACACGTGTGTGTGTGTGTGTGTGCCTATAGTAACGATGGGTGATGTGGATAAATAATAAATAAATATAAAAATAAATAACAAGAATTGTAAAAAAAATGCAGATGAAAAAGAAAGAAGAAGAGGAGGAGGAGGAGAGAACGAGAGATGGAAGTGTGGATTGGGAAGGCCGTCCTGCTCTTCGCCACAAGTCCGGACGATGGGTCGCTGGCTCTGTCATTCTCCGTATGTCTCTCTCCCCCTCCCTCATATATATACACACTCTTGCCTGTATGTATATATATATATACGTATATGTGTATGCATGTATATACAACAGTCCGTAAATTGATGAAATGCATCCGAATATGGGATCAGGAGGTAGCTTATGAGTTCGATAAGTTATCACTTGATCAGAAACTGGAGTGAAGTGACGTATACGACTGAGACAATAAATTTAGTTTTTTTTTAAAAAAAATCAGTGAAGTGACAGAAAAAATAACTTTGACTTACGGGCGATCGATCGTACGTACCTGCATCTGCATGCCGGGCCACATAAAAGGAATTAAGTATGAAAAACATTATGGTATAATATAATAATTCAGATGTAACGTTTTAGACGGTATATTATCAATACGATTAGCGGTCGATTACTTTCGTTATGGGTTAATATATATGTGTATTGGACATTTTTCGTCTTAGAAAAGTGGTATTTGGCGAGGGTGTATGTATAGATTCTATATATATATATACACGTTTGTATTGAGATTGATAGATAGATAGATATATACATAGAACTAATTATAGATAGAATGAATGAACGTAAAGTTACCTAAGGAAAGAGGAAATGACACAAAGAGGAGACTGAATGTGAGGAAAGCATTCTATCTCAATCTATTATTTTTTCTTAAATTATTAATTTTTTAAAACATATTAGTACTATGCGAATCGATCTCAATTTTTCTTCACACCGAGTTCTTAATGATTATATATATATAATAATAATAATTATTATTATTATTAAGAATCATATAAATTAAATTATTATAATATAAAGTACACATAGGACGTTACAAGTTGTGGCGAGTGGTCATTATAATAATTTTCTTTTAACAAAGAAAGCAAACCCATTTGCCTCCGAGACCTATCTCACACTCACATGTCACTTCCTTTTTATTTCCAACTAAAGAAGTATTTATTTCATTCTCGATTTCATAAAAAAAATTAAAATTCATTTTGGACATGAAATACTATCCAACTAAGATGTAACGTCAACTTGATGGAAACGTAATCTCATTCACCATCATTCAGTTCCGGTCCCTGCCATATATCCCACGCTTAATTAAAAACCAATAATCAAACCGATGGCTGGTGTTTGAGCCGGGTTAAGTATTTCCGGTTAACTAACGCTGTTGGAATATGGGTGAACCGGGTTAAACCGGGGAAAAGTGAACCAGGGGCTGGCGACGTTGGCGTTTTTCGGAGTGGGAGTGAATCTGGTGCTGTTCCTGACGCGCGTTCTGCAGCAGAATAACGCGGACGCAGCTAACAACGTCAGCAAATGGACAGGAACTGTCTACATCTTCTCTCTTGTCGGAGCCTTTCTCAGCGATTCCTACTGGGGCCGTTTCAAGACTTGTGCCATTTTCCAAGTCATCTTTGTTTTGGTACGTCACACGTTTATTGCTTTAAAATATCGAGTTTGGATCCAATCTTATCTTATATAATCGAAATTTCAGATCCAGATACATATCGGTTTATATGTATATACGTAAATCAAATTTTGTTGCATTGTTACAGGTTTAATTCTTTCTTTATTTTTTTTATAATCCGAAAGTTCATCATGTTTTTTTTAATAATACAAATTTATTTCTTTATTTTATTAGAGATAATACAATGAAAACCCTAAAATTTGAATAATACAATTTTGTTGGGATTTGTATAAGATAATAATTTGCAAGAATAAATAAAATCATCTCCTAACATTCGCGCAGGGACTGATGTCACTGTCGCTGTCTTCGTACCTCTTCCTGATCAGACCGAAAGGCTGCGGCAACGAAAACATTCCCTGTGGTTCGCATTCGACAATGGAGATCACACTGTTTTACCTCTCCATCTATTTGGTCGCATTAGGAAACGGAGGTTACCAACCGAACATTGCCACGTTCGGAGCTGATCAGTTCGACGAGGAACACCCGAGAGAAGGTTACTCGAAAATCGCGTTTTTCAGCTACTTCTACCTCGCCTTGAACCTCGGTTCCCTCTTCTCCAACACAATCCTCGGTTATTTCGAGGACGAGGGCTTGTGGGCGCTCGGGTTTTGGGTGTCCACCGGCTCCGCTCTCGCGGGTTTGATCCTTTTTCTGATGGGTACACCTCGGTATCGGCACTTTAAACCGAGTGGAAACCCTCTCCCGAGGTTTTGTCAGGTCATAGTCGCCGCCGTCAAGAAATGGACGGTCGAGATCTCGCCCGGACGAGGAGGAGGAGATGAGCTTTATGACTTGCCCGGGAGCGGAGGAGGTAGGAGGATAATGCACACCGACGAGTTCAAGTAAGTGTTTTTTGAAGTTTTTTTTAATAAAGGTGATTATTTGTATTGCATTACAAAAAAAAACACGAAATAATGCATGTTTATATCAAGGCATATATAGGTGTCGGTCTTGAACATAAACTTTTCGAGATGTCTTTACGACCAATCGTCGTTCTTACCGAACATAATTCCTTTTTTTTTTTTTGCTGCAGGTTCTTGGACAAAGCAGCGGTTATAACTGCAGAAGATATGGAAGATGAGGAAAATGGAAGAGTGAATCCATGGCGGCTATGTCCGGTGACTCAAGTGGAAGAGGTGAAATGCATTCTAAGGCTAATGCCCATTTGGCTATGCACCATCATCTACTCCGTCGTCTTCACACAGATGGCTTCTCTCTTCGTGGAGCAAGGCGCCGCCATGAAAACCGCCATGGCAGCAGCGGAGAATAGCTTCAGGGTCCCACCTGCCAGCATGTCGAGCTTCGATATATTGAGCGTTGCGGTGTTTATATTTCTGTATCGACGTGTAATCGAACCGACAGCTAGTAGGCTGAGGCAGAAGGAGAACGGGTCAAAAGGGATGACGGAGCTCGAGAGGATGGGGATTGGACTCGTGATCGCTGTTCTCGCGATGTTATCTGCAGGGATCGTGGAGAGTTATCGGCTCAAGTATGCTGACAAGAGCTGCACTCACTGCGATGGCTCGAGCTCCCTTAGCATCTTCTGGCAGGTGAGCCCTTTCAATCTAGTGCTCGAGGGAAAGAAATCCGAATTTCGAGTACCTAACCCGATCCACGGCTTAGGTACTCGATCAAAATGAATTCGAGCTGGAAAAATATCTGGTGAAACCCGAGACGTAATCTCGGATAACCAACAGATTACCCACCGTAAAACCCTAAAACTACAAAAAATCTAAAACTACTACAGGTACCACAGTACGCATTGATAGGAGCATCAGAGGTGTTCATGTACGTGGGGCAGTTGGAGTTCTTCAACGCACAAGCCCCCGATGGTCTCAAGAGTTTCGGAAGCTCACTGTGCATGATGTCAATGTCCATGGGCAATTTCGTCAGCAGCTTGCTGGTGACCATGGTCATGAAGATCTCGACCGAAGACCACGTGCCAGGTTGGATCCCCAGAAACCTTAACAAGGGCCACCTGGACAGATTCTACTTCCTCCTCGCTGTCCTGACCAGCGTAGATCTGGTCGTGTATATCGCTTGTGCCAAGTGGTACAAGTGTATAAAACTCCAAGGGAAAGGTGATAAACCAGATGGTGATGATGAGAAAGATGGGGATTCAAGGGTTTGATTAATGGGTTGTCCTTTTTTTTTTTGACAAAGATGATGTATCTAATCTAAGCAATAAAAACCTAACATCACTGTGTTTGCTCTAACTGAAGAAGATACGAGGGAAAGACATATAGAGAGATCTTTGTCTGATGATGATCTAAGACAATTGCCATAGACTAAAATTCTAAAAGCTTCCAGAACTCAACGTATACCGGTTCTTGGTTTCACTGTGAATGATTTAAAAGAAAAAAATCGTAGGCAGAGCATGACAGAAGACCGAGACTAAAAAAATGAAAATGGGGAAGAAGCTCAGAGAAAGTAGAAGAAGAATCACCCGATTTTAATCTTGCGGACTTGAATGACATGAGTTGATTCTTCACGCCAGATGGGTTGTGCTCCGCTTTGGACAAGAGTTACATGTTGTCCCTCCTTCAGCATCTCCTTGTCCTGAAGCGTATTTATGCAGGAAAAAAGTTAACGAATTGAAAAGAAAATCTGATGCAGACAGAAAAATAAAAATGTACCTGTAAAAGTTTCAGAGCCCGAGCAAATGTATCTTCTGCATCATCAGAGAACTCCATGAATATGGGCATGACTCCTTGATAAAGAACCAGCCTTTGCATTATCCTTCTCCTGATAGGAAAAAAAATCGTGAGAGCAGTTTTTGATAATTAGAAAATAATCAACGTTCTGCAGAAATTCGGTTAGACGTGTGTTCATTTTCAACAACATATGTCAAAACATTCCAATGAATTATGTTACTCAACTGGTTTGTGAAGGCGAATATGGTTGAGGAGGGACGGTAATGGCTCAAAAGCACGGCCATGGATCCAGTTCTAGTGAATACAATTATCGGTGTCTTGAGGGTATTCGCCATTATAGAAGCATGGAAAGCAAACATTTCGCCCATGTGCACCTATTGGTAATTACCATTCAAATTGACCGACGAATCATTACATTACACGGTACAATATGAGGCTATCAATATAACGAAACCATAAATTTTCAGTAAAAAATTGACGGGCAAGTACCTTGTAGGCACCACCTATTGCCGATGTTCTGACAGGTAGACTTGCTTCAGTCCTCGTTGCCACTGTATGCATTACTTTCACAGCTTTCAGGGGATACCTAATATCAGATCACAATATAAGAAACTTTAAAGAATCGGATACATGAACGAAACTTCTGTGATATTGGTTCTACTAAGAGGAATTGTGAGTTCAGTTTGGAAAACTACGAACTTTCCATGCGCTGTTTCACCAGAAAGCATGATTGCATCAGTTCCTTCACGAACAGCAATTGCAATGTCAGAGACTTCGGCTCTTGTAGGCGTAGGATGATCGATCATGCTCTCTAGCATGTTTGTGGCAACAATCACAGGCTTTTGCATGCTCCTACACCTCCTAATGATCTCTTCCTGGATTAAGCCACAAAAGTATAAATGAAACTGAATCTAGGTGAAACGAACAGACACGTCATAGATTTTGTAAAAGAAGTTCCGGGTATACCTGCAACAATGGGACCTCTTCAATGGGAAGTTCAGCTCCAAGATCTCCACGAGCAACCATTGCCTGACAAAAGCATCCATGATTATTAGTTACAAGCAACAGAAAACTTGCTGATAGAAGAAAGCTACCGATACTGACCCCATCAGAAGCGGATAAGATGGAATGAAGATTCTGTATAGAATCCGCACTTTCGATTTTCACGATCACACTAATATCCGCCTTGCAACCTGTGAAAACATTCAAAGATTCCATTTAGATTAAAGAAAATCACTCAGTACTATGCCCTTAGCAGCATTCTAACATTGATATAATTGGGGACTGAAAAAACGTAGATTTACTTTTGAGGTAATTCTTCAACTCATGAACAACTTTAGCATCCTTAACAAAAGAGACGGCATAGCAATCGACTTGGTTTTCCACTCCAAACTTAATGTCTTCCCAATCTTTGTCTGAAAAAGGCACAAAAGCAAAGTATGATCATAAAAAAGAACACAAAAGAAAAATTGCTTCCCACAAACCGTCCAATTTCGCAGATAAATTCGCATACTGGACGGTCCAAACGCTCAAAATCCCGGTCCAATTATTTTTCCAGGTTCTATATCAAATTAAATGTCCCCTCGAGATCAAAATTTCTTTAATAATCCAAAGCACCTTAAAACCCATTTTGCCTATGTGTGTTTATATACATATGTAGAGGAGGCATATGTGCCATGCGATGTTGTTAGAGACAGTAGCTGCGGTTCCGGGAATGGTCGGAGGGATTCTTTCCTCGAACATTCAAGTGTCGTCTTGATTTTAGCTCTCCCCCATCAATTACTACACATTTCACCAAATCGCCCATCTTTGATTTCACAGCCAATGACATCATTCCACCTAATATCGAGACAAGAAAACCCGTCACCTGTTACAAATGAGCTAAAGGAATGGCTTCACAAAAAAAAAACACAAAAGTTATTAGTTACACATATCATGATTTTACCATCTACCAATAATATGTCTCCAACTTCGACATCGTTAATGAAATCATCATAATTTACGCTGACAGTGTCTTCGCTCGAGACACCTCTCTTGATGGTAAAGTTAAACTCTTGACCCTCTTTTAGAAAAATCGGCTGAGGTACATCCCCACTTCGGACCTCAGGTCCCTACACAAACAGGACACAAATATAACTATTTTATAGATACTGTAGAAATGTTCATAAATCACAAGGGGAAAGTGAAGGGTAAAGGTTATACCTTTGTATCCAGCATTATGGCAATGGCTCTATCTGCAAACTGAGAGTTGTATTCCTTCACAATATCGATGGTTTTCTGGTGGGAAGCATGGTCTCCATGGGACATATTCAAACGAGCTACGTTCATTCCTGTTTCAGCAAGTTTCCATATCATTTCACGAGAACTCGTGGAGGGTCCAATTGTACACACTATCTTCGTTTTTCTGCCTGACTCTGTTCTTATTCTTGGATCTACCAGTTCATATGAACTCATTGAAGAATCCAGCTCTCCCTTCAATGACACAGAGATAAAACAAAAAAGTCAGAAACTTTGGATCCAAGAAAGCATGACAACATTGCCAAATTCGTGGAACCTGAAAACAATCCCAAACGTCTGATTGAAAATATGTCCAGAGACATTGTAAGATCCTCTCGGCAACTTCTCTGCTGAATCCTGACGCAAAATAGAATCCTTCTAATACTGGAATCATATCCAGTCAGAGCGTACGGATATTGCATCAATGCGACTTACACAACACTGATTTCAAACATTTTCCTCAAAGCATTTCACATCATAGTTTCACCCTATCATAACCGAAGAGAATCAAAGCAAAAGCAGAACCACCGGATTCAAACAGTGGAGAGAGGGAACGTGACAAACATGGTAAGGAACGAGAAGACCCAAAAAATGGAAAAGCTGAGGGAGGGAGACAAACTCACGACGTCAAGAGCGCCGTTTTCCGCCGAAGCCTTCACTTGCCGGCTATCGTCGGCAATCCTAATCGACCTGATGCAGGGAGAGGTCCGTCTCGGAGCGACGCCGCATCGGCCGCCGGCTCCGATCAGGGAACGCCGCAGCGACGGGGGGACGCCTCCGATGTTCCTGGAGGAAGACAGAGCGCGATTCGCTGACATTCCCGCTGAGATTTGACCTACCGCCGCCATGGCAGAGCACCTGAACAACAGAGGAGAGAGAGAGTACGTGTTCGCGTTAACGTTAGTGACCGATATTTATGAGAGAGAGTCTGAAGAGAGAGGGTTTCTTTGTCCTCTTCGTTTGGTCGACAATTACGCTGAACCCTCTGAACCAGGAGGAAGCAAACAAGCTCTGATTTTTTTCCTTTTTTTTTCTTTTTCTTTTTAAATGCACAAGCTCTGATATTTCTAATTCTCATATGATTTTTTGTCCCTATTCACAAATATTACATATACTGATTATAGTAGCAGATCATAATTACAACAAAAAGTATATTCCTGTCATTTTCAGCTTTATAATCCCTATTTTCCCTTCCATTTTTTTCACCATCTTGAACCTTTTCTTAAGACAGAAAAAAGGTCTCTTTCATATTGGATGAATTCAAAAAGACATGCTGCAGTAAACTAAAAGTATGGGATTTGATATATATATATATATATATATCATTACATTCCAACTTTCTATGTCAGAAACGGACCAATATAAAAAAAAATACTATTCAAAACATACTCCATGAAGAAAGTTTTCTAAAATTTGCTGAGTTTGGTGAAGAACTTGAAATTGTTTCCAGGCTGAGATTATCAAGAACAAGAACCATTCCAATCTTTCCCAGTCAGATTCCCAGATTCAATTCGTTTTTTTTTTTGAAGTACTTGTTCCAAACCTGAGTAGTGGAGTTGTTGCCCAGATGAACACACTTTGGATCAGATTTAGATTATGATTCAGATGGAACTATCTTTGACCCGAGGAACCTCTCGACGAGCTGAGCCACCGACTTAGCCAAATTATCTGCCTTTTCTTGCGTTGAGGCCTCGGCATATACCCTCACTACGTCCTCTGTGCCCGATGGCCGTATGAAAGCTCTACCTTGAGGGTATTTAGCTGCTTTTACAAAAGAAAAATCAACCCAACAAATTAGAAAGAATCAGACTTTCAAGAACAGAGATTTCGAATATACTTATATGAAGCAGTGTGATAGTTGTACCGATTTCCGTGTTGATTGCTTCTTGGACACCTGGTGGCTTCAGAGCCTCGGTTTCTTCCTCAGTGGTAACTATTGCTGTTCTGTCTGGAACTTTAACCTGTCAATCAGAGAGGAAGGGGCAATAATCCGAGATGAACTAAGAAGTGAAAATTGTAAGGAATTAGGGACAATGATAGTAGCATAATGATAGGTTTTTGTTTCTTTTTTGTACTTCCAATTGTATTCCGGTTCCTAAATACCGTAAAAATTTAGAAAACCACTAGTGGGTTTATCATATACCTTGAGTTGTCTGCTAGGAAGGTCCTTGTAAAGCTCATTCCATTTCTGTATTGACCATCCCATGTGTTGCAGAATTACTTCAACCAAGAGCAATCCACTAAGTGCATCCCCAATTGCTTGGTTAATGAGCTTACTCATAGCCACGAGCCTAGAAACCGCCTTAAGCTCTTCTGAGCCTGTAACGAGTAATTCAATGTTGTTCTAAGTTCGGTATTTCAGGCAGTCAAACACACTGAAAGGGAAAAAAAAATAAAGGTAGGACCTTTAGCAGTGGTGGCGAGATCCTTCTGTTTGGATTCTAGCCATGAGAGCAAAGTTTCTGAGAAGAGTATAGTGCCATGGCCATTGGCCTCAAAGTAGATCCCGATGTCGAACTGGGCAGCTTTTTCATGCAAATGCTTCACACCGGTTTTAGTGAAAACGACGTCTAAACCCAGATTTTTTAGGTAATTAGTGGATGCCCCATTCGCGTAAGCTGTCTGAACGACACCAAGGCGGGAATACTTCCTTTCTGTATCGATAACACTTAGCTGCTCTTTGATGAAAAGAGCAAACAATGATAATATTTTGTCACCATCAAGCAGTTCAATATTGCCAGTTGAGTCTGATGGGATGAAAAAGTACACTAATCTATCTGCATCACCGTCCAGACTCACACACCTAGCAAAGAGAGACACGGAATATATATCAAATTCGGAGAAAGAATACAACTTTTGATACATTAGATGAGAAAGAATAGACCTAACCTCATCCCAACATCCATTGACCCGAATCCTGAAGGGACAACCTTCTCCTTCTGCACAAAATCAGCACCGACCCCTTCATTAAGAACACCTCCATCCTTTCCGGTGTTACGAATTTCAATAACCAAATTGTTCAGCGACCCTTTTAGATCCTCAAGTTTCTGTCCACCCACACCATTGGCACCATCCACAAGTAATTTCCTTTGAGACCCATCAAACTTGGAACCAGACCCACTCGGAATCAGCTCCATCAGACATCTGGAAAAATCATTCAAAGAAGCTCAAGAAGGCAGTCTCTCTCACAAGCAAACAATTTGACATGCAACTGAAGAACATGAGGACTACCTGAATGAGCTTGAGAGCTGCTCAAAGTAATCGTTCTGTGTCGCATTAAGACCTTTGTTTCTGGCTCGAACCATCCAATGCAATTGAGGAGTTGTCAAAATCCCCATGTCAAACATGACAGATCCCGTGATAGAGGCCACTCCCTTTGAGCGTGTCAACACCGATATGAGCATATTAAACATGAATCAGACAACCTCAGAAACTATGCCATGTTATATTTCTCTGTGTTTTCATGCGTGTTTCACCTCTTTCGCAGCTTGGAGGAGCAAGTCACCACTAGGCCTAGTGTCCCTTCCCAACCATACCTCTGCAAACTTCTCTCCTACAGGAACCTTCTCCTTCTCCACAAAATCTCTAATCAACTGTGATAACGTAGCAACGATTAATGGGTGAGGCTCTGTGATAAAAACATTCCAGCACCAAAGGGCCAGCCATTTGCATCAAACCCAGTTTCGGCTATCACAAAATTCAATCTTTAGCAAAAAAATCTCAGATTTAACTAAACAACAAAACCGGTTCTAGATGCAGATCGACCCTCTCTTTTATCCCTCTTCGTCCCGATCACAGAGCCAAAACTATGACTTCTAAGGCATGTCAACCAAAACAATGCACATACACAAGTATATATACAGATACATAGGGTCTACAATTGGCTAGATCACTAACCGAGACAAGATCTTGGGAAGATGATACATTGGCGAGATGATCAGCGAAGGGCTCCCAATCCTGGGAAAGCATGCCGCCGTCGGAATCGGCGACTTTGACGCCATTGTCGGACACTTTGTTGTGCGACGCCGTGATCATGAGCCCCACCGCCGATGACTGGAGCTTGATCGATCGTACTGCGGCGAGAATTCCAACTCTATACACCGTCGATTCCAGCACCGTCGCGTCGGCTCGGAACCCCGCCGTTCCGTACGATAGCTTGACTCCTAAAGAAACCTACGACAAGGATCAGTCGAATTGAAACAACTTAAAAGGGGAAAATGGTGACTGCGGAGATATTGCATTGCCTTTAGGAAGGGGAAAAAGCTCGGATGTTTTGAGGAGGGAAGCAACTTGGTGCTCGTCCATGGCGTCTACCCCGAGAGAGAGAGAGAGAGAGATTCAGAGGAAAGCGTGAAGCTTTGGAGACGAATGAGGCCTAAAACGCATCGTTTTGTCCTCAGAGTCGCAAAGGGCCATCCATATACACTGGCCGTAGTCACTGGAGCCCGATATTGTAATTTGAGTTAATATATTAAAAAAAATGTAATTGGATTTTGGTTTTGGTTTTGAGAAAATCTATTTATTATTATTTGTTGAAATTCAATTTTTGTTGATTTGATAGTATGTTTCATTTCTAAAAAATTGATTTTCAGAAATCATTTATTAATTATGTATATTCGATTTTTCAGAACCCATATTAAAATTAAACTGATTAGTGTTAAACTGAATCAAACAAACAACAGTTCTTCTTGTACGGACAAGTTTTTATTGTACTTGCTATACACCAAAAGACAATACAACTGCGGACTGGAACCATACATTTACTTGCACAAACCACCAAAACCAGACGCATCTAACTCAGCCGACACATTTCCTCTCCCCGGACAGAACTCAGAAAATCCAGCAAGACCCACCAATGTGAAAACGCTCATCTGAATTGTCCGAGTGACTTGTTCTTGAACAATCCCATCCACGAGAGATTTGAACTGAAAACATTGATGGGTTGGAAACGGTATAAAATCCAAAGTGAACAAAAACAAAAAATTAAAACTTTGAATCTTTCAAACCATTGCCATTGCTGTCTCAGATGAAGCTGTAATAGTCATCACTGTCTCCCATGCAAAGGTAGCAGAGAATAGCGACCAGGAAGACAACATAGGAGGACAGATCCAATGCTAATGCACCCCAGCCGATGAGTCCGGCATGTTTCAAGATCGAGGGTATCGCTATGCTTCCGATGGTCGATGCACCCGTCAAGAACTTGGCTGCGTTGATCCAGCTGAAACATCGTTTGTGTATCGGCAAGGAGACAGATTTCGAAATGAGAAAACAAATATGAATATAAGAACATTGAAGTTGGTTGGAAGCGATTATAGAGATGATCGTTGGCAATTAGAGACACAAGATCAATTGAGAAATCAAACGTTAATTGTGTCAATTATTTCTTAATTCATTTGTTTCTGTCATATATTATTTCTTCATAATACATAGAATTATTTTAATTGTAATTCAAGAAAAAGAGATGTAACAATAAACGATATTCTATTCTTTTTCTATTCTTTTCTTATTTTGCTTCTGCATTATAATCTTTCAAGAACAATTTCTAGAATTAGGCATTGCTGTATAGGGGAGGTGAGTTTCCTCACCTGTTGTCTGACTCGTTGAAGAGAGAGGAACTGTCTGAGCCCGCAAAGAAAAGCAATGGCATTGGGAGAAGCACATACATTATAACTACAAAAAGGATAAGAACATCAGAATCGGTATAGATTATGAAGATATCTCCATCCAAAGATTATGAAGATATCTCCATCCAAATTTTGATCAAAATTATGATATCCTCAAGGAAGTAGATATGAAATGTGTTTTTCAAGCCCACTGTTGTAGTCAAAAGGAGCAAGCTATCGAGAATTTGGACTGAAGCGAAAACAGGGACAAAAACGTTTTTGCAATTCATCAGCAAGATATTCGCTACATGCAATTTACATAACCCGGATCCAGAACTTCCCAAGTCATAACCAGATGTTGAAGAACAAGCCACAAACTCACCACTTAGCATCGGCCACCAGTTATTGAACAGAGCACATGCCTGAAAAACTCTCACAAACAATATAACACAAAATATTAGATTGGAAAATAGGATTAAAGGAGCATAAAATGTTGTATAACTCGATATGATCCATTGGATACCAGAATCTGCAACACGATCCCTCCTGAGACCAAGATTGCTAGGGATGCGATTTTACCCATTTGCAGACAGGTACGAAGATGTCCCGGTATGTCTGCCATTGACGAATCTATTTCTCACCTTGTTTTTCAGACAGAAACTGATATCATTCCAAAACGTTTTCCACAGGTTCGATCTTCAAGGACAAAAACTGAATGCCCAGAAAGAGAGAATACTCAGATGTCATGGACATAATGTTCATGAAACATGGTTGAACACTTTCAGGTCTCTGTGTACCAATACAACTATCACTCAATACTTGACAACGAGGAAACACAGATTCTAATCTCTGATGATAACATCAAGTCCGAATTTTTTGCAATTCGAGCGCATAAACAGTCATACAATCGATAATCTCCAAACCTAATTTGTAGGAATCTTTGAATAAATAAACACAATCTCTAAGAAAGCATCATCGAAGCTCCATCTTTTTCCAGTGGTGAGAGATTAACCTAATCCAGAATCTGTTTATCTGTTCACCAGATTCATTTTCAAACCTCAACCGAACTAAATTGGGTTATGTCGTCCCTTCGATTTCTTCAAAAGTTGCCTAAAAATTTTCCAATTCCATCTATTTCCTCGAAATTCAACAACAATTCATCTCGTTCTTCCGATCAAACTTAAGCA